TTTTTCTTTAGGCATTCGTATAGCTCTGCTGTACGATTTAAGCCCTAACTCGTTCTAGGTTCCGAGGTTGTCGTCCGATACGACGTAAACCCTCATATCTTCAAGGCAATTTGTGTGACCCTGTCACGCAAATATAAGCCATAATTATATAAAAATGGCAGGATGAAACACTTTTATAATTCCTTCTCAAAATTGGAGCCAAATCATAGGATAGACTGGGAAGTCACTGAGGTTCTCCTCAGGATCTGCGGCCTCCCCTAGTTTCTCTTTATTTGGATTCCTCAACATTGTTCTAAGATTTGAGCCTTTCCCCTTTCACACCTATTCGTCCGATTTCGTTGAAAAGTCCTATTCTTTTGACTTCTTTGAAGACATTATTCCTTGATTTTTATCGAGAGTTTTCTTCGGTGACATAGGTCATTTAAGATGTAATTAACTATAGGGGCTTGCCCTTATAGGGAGCTTTTCCGAACCCAGCTTAAAATAAACCCTATTTAATTCTTTGTATTAAATAGGGGAACTTGTCGGCAAATAAAACGGTTTCGCAGACCAAACGGATGTCATATCTTTCTTAGTTTATTTGATCGAACCTCACCCTCAAGTCTTGTGTTTATCTCTCGGGGTAGATACATGATTTGAGATTGAGTGCTCTTTCATTTAAACTATGAAAAATATGAGGTCAGTTTGATTTCATATTTTTCTAAAATTATATATATATACGTAAATTAAAACGTCCTTCCGAAGCGGGCGACGAGATTTCGATTCCGGCTGCCGACAGCTTCTTACGGGCGACCCCCAAACATAACTTTCTTCTTTTAAGTGCCGACAATCATATAGATCATACCGTGTGATGTTGATCGCCAATTTCAATTTGTTAAAAACTAAAATATATGCAAATTCAAACAACTTGTTCATTATGCATATCATTTTGTACGGATTAGATTGCAAATATGATGTGATATGCTTGCAAATGTTGATTTTGCAAATAGTTTTGTAGTTAACTTATAAGGTTATGTTTTTCAATTTGTTATACCTATTGATTAAAAACATTTTAGCATATTATAGTTATTTTTTGTCTAAATATATGTACCATATTTTAGCTTTGTGTTCATTGATCCTCGAGTTTTTATGTAAATGTGAACTCAATTAAAATTATGGAGGAAACTAAACACATACTAGACTTTGCTCAAGCTCGAGTCTTGGGCATTTGCTTCTTCTTGATTGCTTCCACTTGAGTTTTTCTCTGTAACTACAGCTCGAAGTTATTCTAATACATTATCATCTTTACCTTTTTTTTGCACTTAACTTTTTCTCTTTCATTTCTTTGCCATTAAGCAATTTTTTTTAGCTTACTTTTGCAAATTGTTAATTTGCAATCAAGAGTTGTTGGCCTACCTGAAAGACAGATTTCTGTTTTCCCTTAGGTCCAATTTGTAAGATTATTTGTTACTGCTGGACATTTTTTTTTCTTGTGGCAGCTAATTTGGTCTCTTCCACTTTTATCAGCTTGGCAGACCTAATTTCAAAACTCAAATTACAAAAATCTTCGGTATTACAGCATATGTCCTCTATAATTCAACCACTTCTTGAAAAGGGGATTGTGGACTATTCAATCATACATGCCACATTAGTAGAGTATTTTACAATAGCTGACAGGGTATTTGTAAATCTTATGAAACCATTAAAGTCAAGTCACATATCTCTTAAATTTCTGGAAGATTTACATACATATCACATAATTCTTATGTATTTACATATTTAACACCTAAACTTCAATTTTTACATACATACCACCTCACCCATGCATGAAAGGATGTATTTCACTTTTTATAAGTTAAAATGGTGGTATGTTTGATGTTGTATGAAAGATTTAGGTGTTAGATACATAAATACATAGAAATTGAGTGCTATGTCTGTAAATGACCCAAAATTTTATCAATGTTATAACTGTTCTAATTCATTTTATTTTATTTTTTTCAAGTCCTCTGCTGCTGATGTGATTCAACAGTTGCTGCCTCTTCTCTCTCAAGAATCTATCACAGATGAAAGCCTACATGCATCGAGTCGAAGGAAAAACAAGAAGAAGAGGAGAAATCCCCTTGTGAACATGATGCACACTCGAGATGGACTAAAAATTGGCATCCTTTGTATCAAGCATGGAAGTGCAAAGGTAAATTACGAAGGTTTACATTTGTAACCTTTCTGTTTATTTTATTTTATGATAATATTGCCCTGTAGTAATTTATAAAAAAAACTAATTTCAGAGTTTCTGATATTGGTGATTGTTTTTATACATGTTGCTAACATTTTAAGCTACGTCTGTTTTTTATTTTTTTTTTGCTTAAACTTCTTCTGGTTGTTTTTTAAAATGTTTGTTATTATACTGAAGATTTACATACATACCACTCAATTCATATGTGTTTACATATCTAACACTTAAAACTTCAATTTTTTCATAAACACCACCTTAGCTATGCATGCAAAGGTGTATTGCAATTTTTAGAAGTTAAAATGGTGGTATTTTTGAGTTAAAATGGTGGTATCAAAATGGTGGTATTTTTGATGTGATATGAAAGATTTGGGTGGTATAAATGTAAAAATCAAAATTTAGGTGTTAGATATGTAAAATTATGTGAATTGAGTGGTATTTATGCAAACGCCCTTTATTATTATTATTATTATTTTGTATCTCTGAAACTTCTGGAAGCATGCAAATTGTTTATTTTCTTTATTTTAATCAACAGGATAGAAAGAAAATTGTTAAGGGAATCAAGGATCACATCAGAAAGCTAGCATTTGACCAATATGGCAGTCTTGTGAGTATCTCATTTAGTTTTCTTAAATTTTATTTCTGTTAAGTTTATATTGTTATTCAAAATTCTCGTCATGTAATCACAATGCCATTTTGGAATCCACACATCATTTTGCAAACTTAACTGATATTTGTTTACACTTATCAGTTTTACATTGTTCAATCTGCACTAGGAAAGGTTGGATGCAGAAAACTTAACTGGTGTTTTATGCCTCCGCCAATATTTGCGCACATCATATGTAGTGCATTTTTTGTATTTTCTTAATTTAATGAGTTGGTTTCTATAATATTCATGACGTTTGTCACATTATGATTCATTTATAAG